AATCTTAACTAGATTTTGTCATTTGAAAGCATGGTCCAACTGAATGAACAGAAAATAACTGGGGTATGGTAGATGTGGATTCGAATGTTTGAAAGCCCTTCACAAATTTGAGTGCCAGAGTATTATATGTATTGCGAGCATTTGAACCTGCAAGAGATTCTTTTCCATTTGTCTGCCTCCCTGCAATATTTTCTGACGTTCATATTGCAAAGTTTCTGCTGTCCTGTACATATCCCAGTGTGTCGTGTCAGTCAGTCAGTCAGTCACGTGAATTTCGCGCAGCGCGTGCACTACAGTCGCTCCGACTCAAGGCGGGCGAGAAGCCTATGGTGAAGCGGCCCTAGCCAGGTTATAACACTTGGACAGACTGTAGACAGGTGCGTGAGCCTGTAAGGGATTGAGTGAAAACTTTGACAAGCAATACACGAATGTGATCACCAGGGGCCATAAAAGGGGCTATAAAGGGCCACAGAAGCTGGGTAGTCCTGTGAAATTTCAGAATTAAATGCACGGAGATACTATTTCCTTCACTTTACACATTCGAATGGCAGCCTCAGAATGAAGCAACTTTGTTCAAGCATGTTCTTTAATAAAACCTTGATTATTGATTGTGGAAAAATCACAATACATTATATATTTGAAACTGAAAACAGTCTTGGAATATTATGTTATTAATGTTCATGAAAGCTGTTAAAACAAGAGTCATCAGAAGATGACAATTCCCCCAGGCCCCCACAAATTAAAAAAAAGAACAGATAATCTGTTACTTAAAGTTCAACTTGATGAGAGAATTTATATCTAATCTGTCTGTCCGTATACAAGAGTAGTCAATGAGCTATCAAAACAATACCGTGGAATTGGGATTAGGAACTTTGTATTACTATGTCAGGTACCCACCACTATGAACAGAGTCAAAATCAAGCTTGTTACCATGGAAACAAAAAAAATTAAACACGCCTTAATAGCAAAAGGCACAATTTAAACAAATCTGGTCTCTGTGTGTGCAGGGTGTCATGAAAGAATACCTATTAGTTTTGGAGTATAGTCGGGACAAACACACCACTATGAACAGAGTCAAAGTCAAACTTATTGCCATAGAAACAGGAAATTAATAATTGTTTTGATATTCCTAAATGGCGAAAGGCACTATTTCAGTCCTTGGTCAATACATGTACCAAGTTTGGATAAAAAATGTGAAATTTTTTTTTTTAGTTCTGCTCTGGAAACGATACCTACCTCCGTTTCAGCTAAATTGTTTTCATGGAAACAGGCAAACATCACATTTTGGAGAATTCCTAATCAACAAAAGCCACCGCTTCAGCCCTTGGTTAATACATGTACCAGGTTTGGATGAAAAGTCTCAAGTTGTGCTCCAGAAACGACACCTACCCCTCCCTTCTGAGACTAATTCCGAATTGTTTCAATGGTAATCGAGAAAAATAAAAATGCCAAAAATCTGCAAATAGCGAAAGGCACAATTTTCGGATCTGTTCTATATATCTGCCAAATTTTGTTGAACGATATTAAATGTTTTTTTGAGTTGTGCTCCAGAAACAAAATCCTTAGATAAAGTACAAATTGTTTCCATGGAAATCCACAAAAATAAAAATGCCCAAAATACTAAATAGCAGGTGTTCAGGATCTGTTTGATATATTTGCTCATTTTTCTTGAACACTATTGAACGATTGTCGAGTTACGCTCCTGAAACAAATGATAAGGGATGGACGGACGGACGGGCGGACGAGGCGTGGACTATATGTCCCCGCATCATATGCCGGGGGGAATAATAATTCTCAGTGTAAGAGTGAGTGAGTATGGTTTTACGCCGTTTTTAGCAACATTCCAGCAATATCACGGCGGGGGACACCAGAAATAGGCTTCACACATTGTACCCATGTTGGGAATCGAACCCGGGTCTTCCGCGTGACGAGCGAACGCTTTAACCACTAGGCTACCCGACCGCCCCTCTCAGTGTATGAGAATAACCAGTCTTGATTATCGCCAAAACAGATTCCACTTGGAGAGCAAAATAGATGTAAAATTGTATGAATGGACCACCAAATATCATCCCGTGAAGATCCGGGGTAGAATAGGCCTACAGCAACCCATGCTTGCCGTAAGAGGCGACTATGCTTGACGTAAGAGGCGACGAATGGGATCGGGTGGTCAGGCTTGCCGACTTGCTTGATTCATGTCATCGTATCCAAATTGCGTGGATCGATGCTCATGATATCAATCACTGGATTGTCTGGTCCAGACTCGATTATTTATACAGACTGCAGTCATATAGCTGGAATATTGCTGAGTGCGGCGTTAAACAACAAACAAACCAAAATATCAGTGATGACACCAGGTGTTCGTTAAAAGGGTTAGCAAGTCCTGCTCTACCAGTAGCGCCCGCCGTATTCACTAAAATTGCATGATTAAAGCCGTCGACCAAACAATCCAGTGATGGACCAGAAATCCAGTAACAGGATAGTGCGTTTACTGATTTTGATGAAACCAATAAAACTAAGCAATGAGCACATAATGCAGATTTCTCCTTAAATATTTAATTAAGGTGACCAGGATTAGTTTGTTTGTTGTTTAACGCCGCACTCGGCAATGTTCCAGATATATGACGGCGGTACCATGCTTAGTATCACTATATGGTCATGATGACATGTATACGGCCTCACCAAATTAGCATATAAGATGTAGCGTGTGGATTGCACATATTTGAAAGCCTGACACAGGAATAATTTGTCAACAATATTAAGCTAAACGTTGCTGTTAACGAGCCAGTTACCAGAACCAGAGCCAGTCAAACAAATGAATCAACTCTTAATTATTGTAATAACACAAAATGTTGAATACCGTTCAATCTTGTGCTGGTCGTAAGAGGCAACTAACGGAATCGAGCAGGCTCGATGCATGTCATCGTATCCCAATTGCGTAGATCGATAATATCAATCACTGGATTGTCTGGTCCGTATAGCTGGAGTATTGCTGAGTGCAGCGTTAAACAACAAACAAACAAAGAAAACCATCCAATATGGACACAACAGACAATGCATGATGTGATTTTATTATACTTTTATACATTGTACGTCATCCTAATCACTAGTAAATAATTCCGATGCGGCGTTAAATTATAACTCACTACTAGTTTGTCACATGTCGCGCCAACACTGCCATCTCAGGCCGCCTGTGAACACCGAGTCTGGGTCGGACACACCAGCAGTCTATAGCATGTCAGTCTACCATACAGACCCTGAAACAAATATATCCAATACAGCCCATGCAAGTCTATAATATTTGGCAAGTCTAGATTACTGCAGTATCTGAAAATGATATGTCCCTCCTCTTCAAACCTCACTTTGAAGTCGAATAAAATTCAAAATATATCACGCACACAAATGCACTTCACAGTTTGAATTCTGTGGGAAATTCTCTTTTCTGTGATACCGTCCACTGTCAACTGTTAGGCAAAGCAAAATCTCTGAAAATGACCTCAGAAAATAGGGTACATGGTAAATCACGCCATTGTTTACACATTACAAAATCACCATTCAGGGCGTTATATACAACATGTTTTGAATGCTTTGGTCCTTGGTCCTTGGTCCTTGCCCTTGTCACCAACACAAAATGTCTAGATGAAATCAAGCGAAATAAATCAGGTGTAGAAACGAACTCTGTGCTTGGAAAACTGCACTTCTTAGTAATGTAAACAAGGCAACATAGAGATTTTACACAGTGTAGCATTTCTCCTACTTCGAGCCATCTATTCGTTTATTCGTTACACACATTCGCCTCAATATTTTCAGACTATGCATGGGAGAGAATTGTAGCAAGTATAAGGGAATTAAAAATAGATACATTGCAATGATTTGGTAAATTCAACTGAAATTGTCAAAGTTTCCGTCCTGCGTGACTCAATGAATGACGCAAAATCACGCACAGCCACATCCGTATTTATGTGAATTTCTGGCTATTTCTCTTGACTTGAATGAAAAACATACAAACAAATAACGTGTACAGTACACGGATTCCCAGAATGTTTCTGATTACTTACATGTCTCAAAGAATCAGCTACTTGGTCTACAGTCACACACACACACACACACACGCACGCACACACGCACACACACGCACACGTGCTCGCACACACACACACACACACACACACACGTCCATATATTCTCTAGTGGAAATTGTATGCATATTTCTGTTTACTGAATCTTCATGTTTCCCAAGTTTGCTGCAACATTAGTCCCGTGAACATTTATCATTTGGAAAATCTATGCTATACTGAAAAAAACCCATAAAGTTTAGTGGTTCAATAGATTTATAGTAAACCAAAATTATTGTTAGGCTTTAATCCTTATGAGATCCCCCCCCCCCCCCCCCCCCCCCCCATAAAAATTAAAGGCTGTTGTGAAGAACAAAATGTCCCTTTTTCTGTAAAGGGTCAATATTTTTTCACTTTGCTTCTATTCTCTGTTCAATTTCTGTCCACACTCGCCATCACAAGTCACGTTATGTCATATGTATAATTTCTCTACATATTGCAGAAGCGTAGCTTTTCTATCAGACTATAAAGGTAAAATTTGTGGTAACATAAATCCATTCTTCCTAGAAACGTATTGTAATTATTGCATATAAGTGCAAATCCGGCAAAGAGAGTCTGTCTGACAGGGGCCTTTTGATTAAAAATATTTCTTTAAAGTTTACTTATTTTCAGGCCAAATTGAGATTTGACTTGATGCCACTGTTAGCTGAGTCACTGCCAAGTATATAAGATGTGAGGACAAAGGTAATGCCGTCATGTTTTGTAGCTCTGACGTCAAGCATCTTCAGGCCGTCTGTGAAAGAAAGATTTAGATCAAGATTTGCTGTGGGCAATTTCAACCGGACTGGTTTCCTTCTGTGTGTGGCACAACGAGTTCTTGGTACCAGTTTTAATAAGCTCCTCACATCGATGTATTGTTCCCTACACGTTCAATATGGTATCCATACCGCGGGTAGCATGCAAAGTAATGGAGTTTTTTTCTGAACCAGAAGGAAAACTAGTTCCACGCTATTGTTGCGGCCGAAACTTATAGACGGGGCCAAGCTTTCGCATGTGTCCAGCGGCCAGCGCAGAAGTGCCATCCAACACGACCTTGAACTTTCTTGAACCAAAACATGGCGGCCAGGAAGTGATTTTTAGAAATGATCTTGATGATGTTTGCTGTTTTATGAGCAAAATGTGAAATGTCATCGGATACCTTATCAGCCCGTGGATACATAAGGTAGTATCTTTACTATTACTACTTTTAAAATAAATTTTACATGTATATATTAAGTTGTAGAGACGGATCTAGCAAGAATTGCGTTCGACTGCACCAATAGGCACCATGCTTATTGATGTCAATCCTCTCTCCTCTCAGGAAATAATGGAGCTATGTTTGTTGATGTATTATGACCGCTATTTGTGAATGAACTGCATTCTGTAATCTATAGCTGCACCGTAAGTGTATCCACTGTGAATTTGGATTGTTTTGACTATTTCTCAGAAAAAAACACTCAACAAAGATGAAACTCGGATGATCGGTCTAATATTGCCAGAATAAAGTTTGTTCAAAAGGCGAGCATGCCATTGTTAGCAACTACGCGTGTATTATTTGTTCAGATAATTTGAATATATTGAAGTGGGCATTGACTAGTTTGGAAATAATAGGTTTTGACAGTAACCATGGTAACTTTGCCCAGAAACCATATTGGTTTTTTTGGTTTCTGCTTTGCCTCAGTGATATCTATCATCTTGAAAAATCTTCTTTTTAAAATCAACTGGGCACAGCAAGCAGTAAACCTGATATGATATGTAAAAACACATTGTGATCGAGAGCTGTTCCTGCTTGTAGAATGAACACATACTCAAGACATAAAAAATTGTAAAAAATGCCTTATAATTAAGTACTTCCAAAATCTTTAAGATATATTTTCTCAGAAACCACACACCAAGAAATGTTTCTATGATGTGTAATTATGCAATGGGACTTATTTTTTATAGGAAATGTTAAGAAGTACCTTATTTTTTATGAACAAAACACTTTTCCTTTTTTATAAGGCTATGACGTGGACCCCTTGATTTTTATGCTTAATTTGGAACCATGTTTACTTCTCAGAAACTGTGGTGCTGCTTCACATCGGTCTTTAATCACTGTTCTAGAAAGTTCCTTTGAATATTACATTGTCCTCTCACAAGTTTTGTTCATGGTCCAGCACCGCACTCAGCAATATTCCAACTCTATGACCATGACCTGTAAATAGTGTGGACCAGACAATCCAGTGATTGATATTGTGAACGGTTACAATGTATGATCTAACAACCTGATCCACTGTGTTGGATACATTGATCTGACTACAGGTCTACACTGTTGGATACAATGACCTGACTGACTGGTCCACACTGTTGAGAACAATGACCTGATTGAACGGTCCACACTATTGGATACATTGACCTGACTGAATTGTCCACACTATTGGATACATTGATCTGACTGAATTGTCCACACTGTTGGATACATTGACCTGACTGAACGGTCCACACCATTGGATACAATGACCTGACTGAATGGTCCACACCATTGGATACATTGACCTGACTGAATGGTCCACACTGTTGAGAACAATGACATAACTGACCAGTCTGCACTTTTGGATACAATGACCTGACTGAACGGTCCACACTGTTGGATACATTGACCTGACTGAAGGGTCCACACTGTTGGATACAATGAACTGACTGAACGGTCCACACCTTTGGATACAATGACCTGACTGAACGGTCCACACTGTTGGATACAATGACCTGACTGAACGGTCCACACTGTTGGATACATTGACCTGACTGAATTGTCCACACTGTTGGATACATTGGCCTGACTGAAGGGTCCACACTGTTGGATACAATGACCTAACTGAACGGTCCACACTGTTGGATACATTGACCTGACTGAAGGGTCCACACTGTTGGATACAATGACCTAACTGAACGGTCCACACTGTTGGATACATTGACCTGACTGAACGGTCCACACTGTTGAATACAATGACCTGACTGAACGGTCCACACTGTTGAGAACAATGACTTAATTGACCAGTCCGCACTGTTGAATACAATGACCTGACTGACATTGTCAGTGGATGTTGAATGATACAGTCACAGAGCTGTGTTCCATGCCTCGGCCATCTTTTCATTGTCGCAATCCCTCCAAATCAGCTTTGTTTGACTCTTGTTTCAGGTCTTACTTGCTGGTCGCAGTTTGACCCAACAGCCACACAGATGTAGAGATGCAGTCACAGTCAGGCGTCGACAGCCCAGTGCCATCCAACCTGGACTTGGTGACCATTGAGAAGTCTTCAGCACTCATCCTAGTGACAGTCCTTGATATCTGGGGTGGAGAGGCACTTTCTGACTCTTCAGATTGAAAGGTGAGACCATTGTTCCAGGCAGTGTGGCCCTTGCTGAACTGTGACTTGATTCTCTTGCCACTGACTTTCATCATGATTGTTTTATTAGAAACTCTCAAGACATAAACATTTCTTGTGCAAGCAGTCCAAATTGCAGTTGAGCTATCTACACCAGGGGTCTGGAAATGGTCATATGCGCCGGGCATGTCGGATTGGGAATCTCAAATGTCCGGTTAAAATGTTGCTTACTGGACATTTATATTTTTGTGTCAGAACATTTTAAAGAAATTGTTCGGACATTCTTAAATTTTGACCGGACATGATCTGCAGTTAGGACTGAGCGGTTTCTGTCTGCAATTGTAACACAATGAAGATTATCTACACTGACAAGCTTTGTTTGTTTTGATTGCTGTAAATACATCGTACCTTCGTGATAGTCCAAGTGGTCTATCACTAATAGCCAATAAACTGAGATCAGTTGAGCGGATCTGCCAAACCCTCAAAGTCTGGACGATCATTTTGTAGGTCGTGGTTAACGTCTTTCACCATGTTCACTTGGTTGACAGAGGTGGTCACACCTGGTGGCTCGCTGCACTTGATTGGCTGTACCTGGCTACCTGGGCAACTAATCAGTTTTAGGTGGGCTAAAGATGGGTATTTCTTGGGAATTAACGTTTAAAAGTTTCAATTTTCATTTTTGTTGAAAAATGTGGACTTTTAATTCAATCATTTGATAAAAACATGCATGTATGTATTTAAAAATAGGCAAAGAAAATACAGAATTGGTTGACTGGACTAACATTGGTGTTTGCTGGATGGTGGAATTTGGCTGATAATTCTGAGGTTTAAGTGGCAAGTGGCAGGTTGGTCAGCCTGAAACAGGAGAACAGTCTACGACTGATATTAATCATGGTGGGCTGTCATGTCACTGTAGATGACAAAGAAGGAAAGTAATTGTGGTCTGAGGCCTTATGGTCTGAGGCCTTATGGTCTGAGTGGCCATATAGAGTATGTGTTCATGTTAAATGGCAGCATGGTATCTCAGTGAGTTAACACCATAAAACTGGCAAGAGTAACACACACCTCACCCCACCTCACCTCACCTCATGAATGAATGAATGAATGAATGAAGTGTATAAATAGGCTCTGTTCTGAGTGAGTGAGTATGGATTTACGCCGCTTTTAGCAATTTTACAGAAATATCACAGTCGAGGACATCAGAAACGGGCTTCACACATTGTACCCATGTCGGGAATCGACCTCGGGTCTTCAGGGGGGCGAGCCAAAGCTTTAACCACTAGGCTACCCAACTGGCCCTAGAGCAGATACATCATAGCATGGGTAGATTTAGATTACAGGGTGTCTTAAGAGTGGTTTGTACTGTTTCTGGTTAAAGTCATTCTATAGACATGGGTTAAGTGGTTCAATAGACTGTTTTTAGCTCACCAGGTCCAAAGGACCAAGATGAGCTTATGCCTTTCCTTGGGATCCGTCGTCCGTTTGTCGTACTTCGTCTGTCCGTCGTTCGTTCGCCGCTCATCCGTCATCTGTACGTCAGCAGTCTTCTTCTGAACCACTGATTTGAAATTAACGAAATTTGACTGGACGCATCCCTAGATGGTAGGGATTCAAAATTGTACAAATAGTGGGGCTGACCCCCTCCAAGGGACTGAGGGGCTGGGTCGAAAAGGGTAATTTGGCAATATATATAACAACTTTTTCTCTGCAACTAAGAGATAGACATCAACCATATTTGGTTGGAAGCATTCTCAGGTGATGGGAATTCACAGTTGTACAAATGGAGGGAGCTGACCCCCCTAGGGCCTGAGGGGCAGGGCCAAAAAGAGTTTATAACTTGGACACGGTTAAGATCCCCACCGTATAACCATATGTACAATTGCTGAGTATAATGACAGGAATGCACATATGTGACCAGGACTGGCCCTTCTGTTCATCTGTCCGGCAGTCCCAAAGGAGTTAGAACCTTGACCATAACATGAAAACTGATATTATCTCCACCCTATGATTAACAGATACATTGTATACATTTGTTTGTTATGAAGAGAATGATACATTTATGCCAATCGGATTTGCCCTGGGGTCCAGCCTTGCCTCTGGAAACCTGGAAACGGATCAGATTTTTATGCTACATTTGTTTCTAGAGAAGTACACATTCATGCTGTCAGGTTTGCCATCCACCCCTTTGAAATACCGACAGAGTCAAAATTACAAAATATTTGCAGCAGACTTTATGATGATGCAGGCGGTGCCTGAGAACCATGACTGTTATTTTTTTGGCCTTCGTATAATATTCCCCAGAAAATATCTGCATTCTTAGCGGCCATGATGAGCCTGGGTATGGGCAGATGAATGTCATGTCTATTTGACATGTAATTGTCATGCACCAGTGTCACTTCAGTTTTGACCCATGAAGATGTGGGTAGAGAGTAAGTCTTCAGCAACCCATGCATGCTGTAAGAGGCGACCAGCTTGTCGTAAGAGACGGATCGGGTGGTCAGGCTCACTGACTTGGTTGATGAATGTTTTGGTATCACAATTGCGTAAATGGATGCTCATGATGTCAATCACTGGATAGTCTTGTGCAGACTCGATTATTTACAGACCGCCGTCATATATCAAACAACACTTCAGTTTCACACAGTCTGCCCCCTTGCCATGCCTGCACGCGGCATGTAAAAATATCCGGCATTGTCCACAGTGGCTGACAGTGTCAATATCAGTCTTCAGTTCTAAAATCCCTTGATCATGCCGCCATTGATAACCTGTGTAACACAATTAATTTGAAAAAATCGTGAAACTGTCCAAATTACAAATGTGTTTGTCTTTTGATATTGTGTGTGTAAACGATATGAATAGGTACATTTTGATTTATATCAGTGTTGTAACTACCGGTAACCCGTCTGGTCAGGCTCAGTGACTTGGTTGATTGCATGTCCTGGAATCTCGATCTGTATTGATGCTCATGGTGTCGACCACTGGATTGTGTGATCCACACTTGATTATTCACAGACGCCGTCATAATTATAGCTGTAGTAGTGGAATAGTGTGGCAACAATACCTCTACCATGTATACAAACCTGAAATAGCTATAAAAAGATAACTTTCGGTATATGTCTACAAGAACACACACCATCAAATGTATTAAATATTTACGTTTCTTTATAGACAAATTTGTGATTCTTATGTCACTAAAAATAGATTGTGTTATCTTTGTGTCTAAATCTAGTCATCAAGCATGGTGTAAGTTTGTGCAGTCAGGACTTGCTGTATTGTATCCTGACACCCTGAGGGGATTTGGGTTACAACTGATCCCATCAACAAGAGTAGATCAACTCAGTGGCCAGGTTGATAGCCTGTCGTACCACATAGCGTCGGTCATGCTGTATTATATCCTGACACCCTGAGGGATTCGGGTTACAACTGATCCCATCAACAAGAGTAGATCAACTCAGTGGCCAGGTTGATAGCCTGTCGTACCACATAACGTCGGTCATGCTGTATTATATCCTGACACCCTGAGGGATTCGGGTTACAACTGATCCCATCAACAAGAGTAGATCAACTTAGTGGCCAGGTTGATAGCCTGTCCTACCACACAGCCTCGGTCGTTACTCTTAATATCAATCACTAGATTGTCTGGTCCAGATGTGATTATTTACAGACTATTGGAATAATACTTCGTGTGGCTTGTCGTATACAAACACAGCGTGGGTCGTTACTCGTAATATCAATCACTAGATTGTCTGGTCCAGATGTGATCATTTACAGACTATTGGATTATTGCCTAGTGTGGCTTGTCGTATACCCACACAGCGTGGATTTTTACTCGTAATATCAGTCACTAGATTGTCTGGTCCAGATGTGATTATTTACAGACAATTGAAATATTGCCTAGTGTAGCCTGTCTTACCCACACAGCATGGGTCGTTACTCGTAATATCAATCACTGGACTGTGTTGTCCAGATGTGATTATTTCCAGACTATTGGCATAATGCTTAGTGTAGCCTGTCGTACCCACACAGCGTGGGTCGTTGTTCATAATATCAATCACTGGATTGTGTGGTCCAGATGCGATTATTTACAGACAATTGGAGTATTGTTGAGTGTGGCTAGTATTTTTTTGTATTTTGGTCAAATGGGGACAAGTTTTTTCAAAAACTCCTGAAGTATTCATCAAAACTGAGTTACATCATAGCATGGGCAGATTTAGATTACAGGGTGTCTTCAGGGTGTTTTGTGTTGTTTCTGGTTAAAGTCCTCCTCTTGAGATGGGTCTAGTGGTCAAGTAGACTATGTATGCTGACCAGATACATCATAGCATGGGCAGATTTAGATTACAGGGTGTCTTCAGGGTGTTTTGTGTTGTTTCTGGTTAAAGTCCTCCTCTTGAGATGGGTCAAGGGGTCAAGTAGACTATGTATGCTGACCAGATACATCATAGCATGGGTAGCTTTAGATTACAGGGTGTCTTCAGGGTGTTTTGTGTTGTTTCTGGTTAAAGTCCTCCTCTTGAGATGGGTCAAGGGGTCAAGTAGACAATGTATGCTGACCTGATACATCATAGCATGGGTAGATTTAGATTACAGGGTGTCTTCAGGGTGTTTTGTGTTGTTTCTGGTTAAAGTCCTCCTCTTGTGATTGGTCAAGTGGTCAAATAGACAATGTATACTGACCAGATACATCATAGCATGGGTGGATTTATATCACAGGGTGTCTTCAGGGTGTTCGATATAGCTTCAGGTTAACAGCATTGTCTGGACATGAGTCAAGTGGTATAATAGGCTGTGTATAATGACCAGATACCTCTTAACATGGGTAGCTTTTGATTACAGGGTGTCTTCAGGGTGTTTTGTGTTGTTTCTGGTTAAAGTCCTCCTCTTGAGATGGGTCAAGGGGTCAAGTAGACTATGTGTCCTGACCAGATACATCATAGAATGGGTAGATTGAGATTACAGGGTGTCTTCCGGGTGTTTTGTGTTGTTTCTGGTTAAGTTTCACC